TTATTTTTATAATTTCTTTTTAAAATGCAATAAAGATTAAAAGTTTTAAAAAAGAAAAGAAAAGAGTTTTTTCTTTTCCATTGCCACATGTTTCATGCCTCATATTAGAGATTACATTCAAGCCCTCATTCTAGGCACCTTTCTACCCCTTCCCAACCACCCCATGGAACAGTGGTCCAACCATAACAGGGAAGAAAAGAAAAGAGTGTTCCTTTTTCCATTGCCACATGTTTCATGCCTCATATTAGAGATTACATTCAAGCCCTCATTCTAGGCACCTTTCTACCCCTTCCCAACCACCCCATGGAACAGTGGTCCAACCATTAGGTAACAGGGAAGTTTGTCCAAGAGACTTGGATATCACCAGCAGGTAGGGTGAACACCCTTTCACCGCTTTGCACTATATCTCTGACAGAGTAAAGCAGAAGAAGAGTTCTAAAAGAATCCTAGTGCCAAAAAATAATTTAAACGAATTTCTGATTAATTTAAAGTCCACATAAAGAACAGATTTGCTCTACTAATTAATCATGAACCAGAACTGTGGATTGAAACCAGATATATTATTAGGAAAGAATGCACTTGTTCATGTACTGACAATCTCACGAAAAATTTACTTTAGTGCTCTGTATGTGGTTACTTTTGAAGGCAACATGGAAGTTGTAGTAGGTGCAGAAGGCAGCTGCCAGATTGATTGCAGGAGTTTCTAAATACGATCGTATTTCCCCAATCCTGACAAGACTGCATGGGCTTTCTGTCTGCTTCTGTGCCAGATTCAAAGTGCTAACTCTAACTTACAAAGCTGTAAATGGGTTGAGATCTTGTTACTTGTCAGAGCATCTCTCCCTAAGATCTACTACCCAGGCCACCCGATCATCCTGGGCTGTATTGCTACAGGTGGCCACCCTGTGAGCCCTGGACCCACTACACCTCTCGAGGCATGCTTGGTATTCTTCTTCCTTGTTTTTTCTCCATCAATAAGAGTGATTAGGCCATGTCAGCCCTGTCCAGACTGGCCATTTCAGGAACAGGATGGATCGAGCTAAAAAGGATCTGTTGAGCTGTGGGGAGAGGATGTGCCATTTGCAGTGCTCCTCCTTCCCCCACAACAAATGAAGGCTAAACAAAGAGCTATTTTGCATCTCAATGAATTGTGCCAAAAAGATTGCATGCCCGTGCTTGTGCCAAAAAGACGTGGGTCAGCTCTTAAAAGGGAACGATGGACTGTTCTAAGTAGAAACACGAACAGACAAGGTCCCTTTTTTTTCCCATGCCAAAGGGTGCCATAAGGGTTCTATATATCATAACTACATGCCAGTGTGGGCAGGCTCTGCTTTCTCTGACTGCTTCCCTTTTCCATGAGGAGATCATCAGAAAAAAAACTTTTTTTTCATTACAAGCCCCAGCATCTATCAGCTAGCATGCATTGCATAAAAACTCTTTGTAAAATATTCCTGCAGCCATCTATACCGCTGTGAAGTGGGCCTGTTAAGTAAAGGGTTATGTAAATACCTTTTCTCTCAGTTGGCCCATTGCCTGGATGGTCACATGGTATGTTGCAGGCGTTATAGTGTGGGAAGCATCAAACGCTTCCTTCCTGCTTTCTTTCACTCTCACTCATAGAAAGGCAGGGAAACATGTGGCTGTATCTGCTCCTGCTGCTGCTCCTGCTCGTCATTCTTGGGATCCCCGCTTTTATTTACTTCTATCTTATTCATGGTTCAGGGAAGAACCCCTTTAGCCAGCTGATTCTGCACTCCCCCGAACCAGTAGTTATGGACCCAGAAGTGCGCAAAAAGGTCCTCAAGAGAGGTAAGTGGGCTTTCATGAATGAGAGATGTGAACCGAGCTGGATTTGAGTGAGACAAACTCTCAGCTTTGAGCAGGAATCAAATGATGTGATTGGATTAAAAAAAACAAATAAAACTGTTAGTGATTCTCAGCCTTTAGATCTCCAAATGTTGCTGCCTCCCAGTTTCCAGAGTCTCTGACTTGCAGATGATTGCTGGAGGGAAGGGGGTATTAGGAACTGCAATCTGATACTTCTGGAAGGTTAGAAAATGGAGACTCCTGGACTGTGGAACTGCCTGAAATCTGACAGCTGAGATTTCATTCAATAATAAATAAGTGAATAACTGCTGCATTTACACAGGGGAAAAAAACAGAAAAAATATCTGTCCTCTCTCTCTCTCTCTCTCTCTCTCTCTCTCTCTCACACACACACACACACACACACACACACACACACACACACACACACACACACACACACACACACACTTCTTTTTTTCTATGGCTCATTCCATTTTTTTTAAAAAAATGTGTAAGAACTTTAAACTTGATCAGTTAATTGCATCTGGTAGAAGATCTTCAGGACCTCAGGCTCTTAAATTTTTCACCTCACTTGCTACCTGATCATTTTAGCTGCCCCGGAGACTTGAAATTTTCTGCGTTCAAAGTGTGCAGAGCACAACAAAGCTCTCAGGACCTTCATGAGTACATTGAAGAAAAAAGAAAACAAGGGCTGATAGAAAATGCCAGGAGGGGAAATAACAACACAACTTCATGCATATTAAGTTTCCCCTGCGGGAATTTACTGAAGGTGTACAGCATTCTTTATTGTACAAGCCTATTGCCATGTATGGTTGTCCCCTTAACATTTGTTAATGTTCCATGTTATTGCCTTCTATTTATCTAAATCTTTTCCGGTATTAGAAGAGAATTTGCAAAAACATGCTGTGTGGATTGGAGCCACCTGTCTTACTAATGAAGATCAACAAAACAGCACCACTAGTCACGTCTAGCTCATTAATGGTTTATATTTTGGCTATTTGATTTGTTTATGTTTGATCTGCCAGTCTGTGTCAATGAAAAGTTTGCTTCTGGCAGACTCTTTTGACTTTCCTTCAGTTGTGATCTGCAAGATCATTTGTTCATAACCTGTTAAGATTCTATGCAGTACTACCCACATGGCAGACACTGTAATTATCAATGTGTGAAAGTGATGTACAAACATTATATTCTGTCTGGCATTGTTCACAGTCCAGAAGTGCTCATCTTGACTGTATATAAATGGTTTGCGACATTCTGTTACCTTGTATGTAAGCATTCTTTTTATATCATAGATTATTATTTGTACTCATGGCTGTTCTGTAGCACCTTGTTTTCTTCTTCACATGCCACTTGGGATGAAAACATTCCGAACAAGCCTTTTGTTTCAGATTGATGCCACCTGTTTTGAATACTAGTCCACCATACTAGTCCACCTTACTGGATTATTGTTGTTATAATGGCTAGTGAGTAGAGATGGGACTGAACCAAACTACGAACCGGAAAAAAACACAATCTAGGCTGGTTCGTGCTTCGGTTCACGCAACCCGTTTTGCTACAATGAAATGAAGCACCAAATTTTTTCAGTTTGGGGTTTTGCTTTAGCAACCCCCTTCCCGCTGCCCCCATTAATTCTGCAAATAATCTATTTTTATTAAAATAATTTAATAAAATAGATCTTTTTAAAGTTTTCTAAATGCTCAAAGGTTCAAGTGAATTGCAGGGCTTTTTCCCCCTCTTTCATTTTAATTAGTTTTTGGAATGCAATGTTTTTCAATGCCTTCTTTCAGTTCTTCTCATGCTTGATAAAGAACTAATTTTATCCCACAGAAAACCTCACTTGTAGCTCTTTGATTCTCTTCTTCTTTTCCTCCATCGTCTTTTTCTCCTTAGGTTTCTCACTGGATGCAGTGCCATCCAACCTGGATGCCATAGTGATTGGAAGCGGCATCGGAGGCCTGTCTGTCGCCGTGTCAATGCCTTCTTTCAGTTCTTCTCATGCTTGATAAAGAACTAATTTTATCCCACAGAAAACCTCACTTGTAGCTCTTTGATTCTCTTCTTCTTTTCCTCCATCGTCTTTTTCTCCTTAGGTTTCTCACTGGATGCAGTGCCATCCAACCTGGATGCCATAGTGATTGGAAGCGGCATCGGAGGCCTGTCTGTCGCCGTGGTCTTGGCGTTTCTCACTGGATGCAGTGCCATCCAACCTAGATGCCATAGTGATTGGAAGTGGCATCGGAGGCCTGTCTGTGGCCGTGGTCTTGGCAAAGGCTGGGAAACGGGTTCTGGTGTTAGAGCAGCATGGCAAGGCCGGAGGATGCTGTCACACCTTTAAACAAAAAGGCTTTGAATTTGATGTCGGTAAGGATTCATGTTAACATTAAGTGCCTCATCATTTGGTGGCCCCTGCCAGTGGCCTTACTGCATTTGTTTACATTAGAATTTAGCAGTACTTGAGTTACAATCTCACAAACTCACAATCTTTACACATTCCAGTGCTTGCCAACCTGACAGCAGTACTTGAGTTACAATCTCACAAACTTACAATCTCACAAACTCACAATTCCAGTGCCTGCCAACCTGACCCCCCCCACTCCCCAGAAGAGAACATTTGGACTGGGATTTAGTTATCCACTAGACTTCGTAGTTCCAAAATATTTTGACAGAGTTTTCAGATCAAATAAGTGATGTCTGTTAAAAAAAGAGAGGCATATTTTGAAAAAAAAATATGTTTGCATGTGTACATTTAAAGAGCATTTAAAGTTACTGGAAAATTGACACAGTGTTAGCTTCTAATGGAATACTATCTGTAATACAGAGTTTGACCTTGAGTTAAATGTAGAAGGTGCCTTCGCAAAATGCCTGTGATGGAACAAAATGTCACTGTTTTCATAATGCACTTAATGTGTTATGAGATGTAAGGGGCTTTTAACCACAGGCAAAACGGAAGGACAATGGCTGCTGAAATGATTGTTCACTCTACTGCAGAGGTTCCCAACCTTGGGCCTCCAGATGTTCTTAGACTTCAGCTCCCAGAATCCTGGCCAGCAGAGGTGGTGGTGAAGGCTTCTGGGAGTTGCAGTTCAAGAACATCTGGAGGCCCAAGGTTGGGGACCACTGCTCTACAGAACTCCCCTCCTGTTTTCTTACTTTTGGCTCTCACCTTCCTTAGGCATTCATTATGTGGGAGAGGTGCATGAAAACAGCATGACAAGGATGATCATGGACCAGCTCACCAATGGACAGCTTGATTGGGTTCAATTGGAAGATCCCTATGATGTTATAACCCTTGGGAACAAAGACTACGAGTTGTACTCTGGGAAGAAGGCCTTTGTGGAGGAATTGGAGAGGCAGTTCCCAAAGGAAAAGGAGGCCATCGAAAAATTCATGAGGCTGTCTTCGGTGAGAGAGAATGCTGGTTTTTATACTTAAGTGGGGTACCTGAAAGCTTTGGGGGCTCAAGACCAACATCACAGGAGACCACTGCAAAGGCTGTTTGATCAGGTGACCATGTGGCCGTGTCTATCTGTCACAAGTTAACTTTTATTTTGTTTGGAATAGGGATGTTTTAACATATTTTATTTACTACATTCACTAGGGGATTTTAAATGTTTCCATCTCACTTCTGTTGCACTTTCTCCCAATCCAACTTGCAACCCTTTTTTTAAATCCAATTTTGGTTTTAACTCCCCGCTTTGAAGTTCATATGCAACTTATACTTTCTAAGACAAACATTTATTTACACATTGTATCTAACTAGCTTTTAAAAGTGAGACTGTCAGTGAAAGTTAATGAGATCAGAACACACAGTTTCCAACATCTTTATGTCCGACTCCAGCTTTATACTTATCAGTTTTGCTGTGATTCTAGCTAACTCATCATAACCTTCCATGATGTCAAAGTTCTAGCACATGTCTCAGTCTCCCCAAAGAGGCATTTTCCAGTTAATTTCAATGCATTCAGATGAACCACAATCATTGTGTTTTGGGTGCATGCCCACATATATGTATGCATATGCGCACACACACCCATTGGGCAGAATCCTATTATGTAAGGTTGTGTAACTTGCTGATGTTTGTTGACAAGGCGCCAGGGTGCATCTTGGTTGTGCAATCAGGGACATGATGAGACACATGACTAAGAGACATTCCAGTAACTCATTAATTACGGTAGCTGTAGTTAGCCAGTTAGCAAGTCACACAAACCTCACATAAACTTTGTTAGGATTCTGGCCATTGATTTTGGTTCTTGAAGTGAACAGGGACCTAAAGGTAAAGGTTCCCCTTGACATTTTCAGTCCAGTCATGTCCAACTTTAGGGGGCGGCGCTCATCCCGTTTTTCAAGCCGTAGAGCCAGTGCCTGTCCGAAGACAGTTTTCCGTTGTCACGTGGCCAGCGTGACTAGGGAATGCCGTTTTACCTTCCCACCGAGATGGTACCTATTTATCTACTCACATTTACATGCTTTCGAGCTGCTAGGTTGGCGAGGAGCTGGGACAAAGCGACGGGGGCTCACTCCGTCACATGGATTCGATCTTACGACTGCTGGTCTTCTGACCCTGCAGCACAGGCTTCTGCGGTTTAGCCCACAGCGCCACCACATCCCTAAGGAACAGGGACCTACTGCAAACCAATAAGGCTCATATGTATTATCTGCCTGACACCATGATAAGAGGTGAAAAAATATCTTATTCCTCATCATCAACACTTTTACAGGATGCATTTTAAATTTTACTTATAGGTCACAGTGACATGATTTTCCTATTGGTCATGACTACCATCTAATGCAATTAATTTGAATCTACAGTTCCTTGCACTGCATCAGGACTACAGACAAACAACCTAGGAACACAGATTTAAAGCCCATCTCAGCTTAGCTCAAATGGGCATGCAACCAATTTTTAAATTAAGTTTTCCCATTCTCTTGTCCAAAGATTGTTAGGCGGCATATACCTTTGCTGGCCATCCTGAAGATGATTCCCATGTGGCTGTCTGCATTCCTGATCCAATGGGGCCTTGTTCACTTGGTCTCACCTGTTTTCAGGTTGGCAACTTCCAGCCAAAGCAAGATTGTGGAGCAGCTAACCACCTGCCAGGACCTGCGAGCCGTCTTCAGCTACTTCTTCTATGGTGAGGAAATAAGGGGATGGGGATGTATGTCCTGTCTCTGGTTATTTTTTTCTGAGGTGCCATGCTTTCAATAACGCCTATATTCTTATTTGCCTATCTTACTGTCACTTTCCTCCATGGAGGGTTTTTCCTGCTAACATCATTGGAGGATTGTGAGAAAACCCATCAGAACCATAGTTCAGCAAGACAAGTATCTATTTGCATGAAGAAGTTCCAAGTTCAATCCTTGGTACTTCAGGTTGAGCATGAAAATCTTGTGCTTTGACCCTTAGAAATGGTTGTGTGTTGTTGAACAGCAGAGTTTGGAATTGTTGTCGATAAGAGATTGGTATTAGGGCGACACCTCCCAAAATACCTCACCCAGCAGACTGGCTAGAGTAGTTTGGGCGTTTTACTCCAAAAAGTAATGTGTCTAAGCTTCAGTGAACATGCAATAGGGATCACCCTTGATTCTATTATTCGCATACCTGATTTCTGTGCTTTCAAGTGCAGGGTAAATGACTTGGTAGTAACCAATAATATGTACCAGAAATGAAGACTGCAACTAATTGTTGCAGTGTAGAATACTGCTTCTTAGCACTTCACACATTCTGTGCCTCCAATAATATGTACTAGAAATGAAGACTGCAACTAATTGTTGCGGTGTAGAATACTGCTTGTTAGCACTTCACACATTGTGTGCCCCCTCAGTCTTCCATCAGCCTCAAGAATCAATCAGCATTCCATGGCCAGCAAGCAAACTCAGTTCTCATGGGGATTATTCAGGGGATCCTTTCTCATCCATGAGGTTTGTAGTTCAGCAGTATCGTGTGCTACAATGGCTGGCCTGCCAGCTTTCTGCATGCAGTGCTTCTTTACAAAGAGGTAGCTGTGTTAGTCTGCTGCAGCAAAAACAACACATAGTCTCATGACACATTTTAGGATGTAGGGTGCAACTCCACAGCAGGGAGAATACAAATTAATCTGCTGTGAATTTGCACTTTGGAAGCTGGGTTTCTCTTTAGCTGACCACATAGAAGTTAGGAGAGAGAGAGAGGAGGAAATTAGCCCTTGTTTGGAGTTTGGTAAGGCAACGTCTGCTGTAGCTATCCAGAGTACAGCAGATCTACCTTAACAAGCTGCAAAGAAATGCTGCTTAACATGTTTACAATCTCTCTCTCTCTCTCTCTCTCTCTCTCTCAAAAAGAGTAAAAGTCCTAGCAGTGGAGGAAAAGAAATTGGATTGGAGGAAAAAAGCTGCATCCTGCATCCATGAAAATGCTTGCCAAATAACCCATGTTAATCTTAAAAGTGCTACAAGACTCTTTGAAGTTCCTAATGTTTCTCTTTCAGACATCAGAGATCCTTTCCCCCTTCTTTCAACCTCTTGTTCCCACTAAACAGGAGTTCCTCCCAAAGATTCCAGTTTCCTCATGACAAGCCTGCTGGTCCGTCATTATCAACGTGGTTCATGGTACCCAAAAGGGGGGCCCAGCGAAATCCCTTTCCACATGATTCCCATGATTGAGCGATCCGGAGGCACCGTGCTCATGAAGGCCCGCGTGACTGAGATCTTGCTCTCGGAGAGCGGTGCTGCTATAGGTGGGTCTTGGAAGGGATTTGGAAAGGTTTATGTTTTAGGAATGGAGGAAGCTCTGTTGGTTTTGTTTTGTATTTCTTTGTTCAGATGTTTAAAGTTCTTTCTGTCCTAAAGAGGTAGAAATTTGTCAAGTCCAAGTTCTTATGGAAACAACATTCTTCTTCTTTGTGCTGGTCAGACTATGTAGGCGCAGCCCTTCCCAGGGTGGAGAGGACCACAGAACAACTATCTGCAATAAGCAACATGATTTCCTGTAAAAGGAATCAAAACCTAAAGTTAAGCACTCAAGCACTCAAAGCTTTGGGCTTGGGTGGATAAATCTTTTGGCTTCTATTTCTCCCATATGTCATTCTTTTTTTAGAAAAGTCTCAAATTCTGTCCACCCCAGCAATGAACAAAGTTGCACATTTTGGTAAATTAATGTAAAAAAGCAAACAAAAACAAAATTCTTCCCCCAGTCTCTCTTCCTCTTCCATTGACCATTTTTCCTAAAGTTAGAGATAACCACACTTATATGAGTTTTGTATTTACTTTTGTCAAGTAAGTGAGTTGTGTTTTTAAACAGACGATTATCTTATTCATGCTTTTAATTGTTTTATGAATAATTTTATTGTGAGCTGCCCTGAGTAGACATAGTCTAGAAGGGTGGGATAAAAATTTAATGAATGAATGAATGAATGAATGAATGAATGAATGAATGAATGAATGAATGAATGAATATGGCTTTGGATGCATTTTTCGTGTTGCTTTTGTTAACTGCCTTTTAGCGGTGTAGCTGTTTGATCTTTTTTAGTATTTGTATACCTACTATTTTTTGCTTTTAATATTGTTTTTTAATAATGCAAACCACCTTGGGCCCTTCTTAAGGAAAAAAAAGTGGGGTGAAAATAGTTTCAATGATAGATAGATAGATAGATAGATAGATAGATAGATAGATAGATAGATAGATAGATAGATAGATAGATAGATAGATAGATAGATAGATAGATAGATAGATAGATAGATAGATAGATAGATAGGTGTAAGATGGAACCCACTTGCAGTGGAAGAGATGGGAAACCCAGGAGAACAAAAGTTAAGCAAATATTTGCTGCCATAGGGTTGAAGAATTAGACTCCCATCCTAGTCTAGGAATAGGACTCCCAGCTAAAAGGAAGTTTGGTCAAAGAAGAAATCTATGTCACTTCCCAGGCCTTCTGAAATTGTTAACTGATTGGCACATGTCTTCCATGATCATTGTAGTCTTAAGTCTCCATCTCATGGCAGCCTAGATAAAACGTACCAAATTATACACCAGCATTCTCCTCACTGAACAGTAATCTTTTCTAGGAGTGAGCATAGAGAAGAAACATGGTGGCGATGTAAAAGTGTATGCTCCTGTGGTGATCTCAGATGCCGGCCTGTTCAATACCTTTGGGAAGTTGCTGCCTCCTCAGATCAGAAGCAAACCAGGTAAACCAAACATTTTTGTCTGTTATAAAACCCTAGGTATCTGAGTAGGAAGACTAAGTCTACCTGAACCTGCCCATCAAGTTCAGTCAACACTGGAGGGTCTACAAAGAATTCCTCGTCCAAAGGAGGTGTGCAAGTGATAACATGAAGGAAAGGCCTTCTTAGTTGTGGTGCCTTTGTGGGATATCTTTTGCCCCCAAGAGAGATTAAATGGTTTCTTTTATTGACAGTTTGCAAGTAGGTAGTCAACCCATCTGCAAACTGTCAATGGAATAGGTCAACTGTCAACATAAGTCAACATACTTACTTAGCTATGCCTTTCATGATTTTTGGTGGGCTCTCTCTCTCTCTCCCTCCCTCCCTCTCTCTCTCTCTCTCTCTCTGTGTTAAATTTGATAGCCATTAATCTTCTGTGGTTTTCTTTAGCAGTTTTCCTCCCCCCACCCTCATTTTTCTTGTAACAGAATAAATGGTTCTGTAAATAAGTGGTGTCTTGGATATGATATCTTGTTTATGACAAACTACAGGAGGAACGTGAATAAAATGTAATTGTGATCCATTCTAGTGTCGGCCCCTTTCAGCGATGTGTTTTTTGTAATTCACTCAGAGATCCAGTCCCAACTTGGCTTGGTTCAACACAGCATGGGGTCCTTCATCGTCTTTGTAGGCCTTCGAGGGACGAAAGAAGAGCTTGGGATCAAGTCGTCTAACTACTGGATTTATCAACATAATGACCTAGATGGCATGTAAGTATTAACTGGGCGCTCGATTTGATTTTAATTTCCTGCCCCCCCACCTTCCAATTTTTATGGAATGCATGTAAGATTTCCACATAGTGCCATGGGATCTGGCCATATTTTGCTTTTCCATGAGGAGACCCCTTCCATCTCATGGGTTGTCCCTCCAGCCCCAGCCCATTGTACATCCAACCCATTGTAAACACTAGGAGAAACTTTGCTGAAATTCTTTTACGTTCCTATGAACAGTTGAGCCTGTCCCTTCAGATCTATTTGGAGCAGTTGCTACTAGAGATGGCCAGTTCTACGATTCATGCCAGTTTGTTTGTCAAATAGGTGTCTGGCACTTTCCAGCCATGCCTCCTCTGGGACGTGGTTGGAAAGAGGCAACACCCTGGTTTCCCTGCTCGGCCTCCTCCAGGCACTGCCTCTGAGTGGGTGGCTGCCAGAGGAGGTGGGGCTGGAAAGCACCGAACAACTGTTTGGCTAGCAAACAAACCAGCATGAAGCTCCAAACTGGTGGTTCGTGCCTACCTTTAGTTGGTACAGAATATCTATTTATTTTATTTATTTATTTATTTATTTTATTATTAGCTTTTTTTATCCCGCCCTTCTAGACTGCATCTACTCCGGGCGGCTCACATCAGAATCATGCATAAAAACAGTTAAAACAATCATTTAAATCGACAATATAAATGTTAATCAAGATGGAAAAGTAAGCAAAAGGCCAAGCAAAAAAGTAAAACTCAAGTATTGGTAGGAGGGAAGGCCTGCCTAAAGAGCCAGCTCTTTAATTGGCTCTTAAAGACACCCAGCGAGGGTGCCAGGCAGATCTCTGATGGCAAGGTGTTCCAAAGTTGAGGGGCCACTGCCGAGAAGGCCCGATTTCTTGTTCTTTTTTTTTTTGGAACCCCTCTCGGCATTAGGCCCCTCAGCCATCTTTCCTGGCTATAGTGAGTGACTCGAGTAGATCTAGGTGGGAGAAGGCGTATGTAAGAATAACACTTAGCTGCAGGCCTGTGTTGGTGAGCTGTGAAAGGCCTAGGCCGACTACCATCAGCTTAGTTCGGGGTTGAGTGACATGCAATGCCAAAACCACATGTGCCCACATGAACTCTTTTTGTAGGCCCTAGTGCTTCATTTGCTGCCAGCTCAAAATTCAGCAGTGCTAGAGATCAGAGTTTTTCTTTGTTTCTTTTGGTAAGAGAAGAGACAATCTGCTCTGTCAGTCCACTGGACTAGATGATGAGGGATGGTTCTCTGGCAACCTTCTACATGACAGGGAGCTGCCACCGGAATCTTGTCAGGTGTTCCAGATGGGTCTAGTTCTCCCCAAATGCCAGGAAAATTTCTATCCCAACAATGACTGTTCTGTGCTTCCTGCTGCTGCTTTCTGGAGGGGACTTTCCAACTTCTCCTTTCATCATCTACAGTGCTTCAAAATATGCTACCCTATCTAGAGAAGAAGTGAGTGCTCACCTCCCTATGGTGTACGTCACATTCCCATCAGCCAAGGATCCTATATATGAAAAAAGGCACCCAGGTATCTTTTTATTTGATAGAAAGTAATAAATTGGAAAGAGGCGACATCCATTGTTATTACTAGATTTTTAGACAGAGAGAGAGACAGCACCATCTATACGGCATTTGACAAGGACTGAGTTTGATAGATCCCTACCTTAAAAGAGTTGCAAACTGAAAAATGTCATGGGAAAATACAAATGAGGAAGACTGAAAGAGAGAAACAGGGGATGTTCAGTTATGAAGCCCTAGTTTGGTCTAATTATCATAGAGATGATGAAGGGCTTTCCTCAGTCACCATTTTTAAACAACTTGGCCTGTTTAATCCTCAAAACTAATACGTGGACCACAATGGCAGAGCAATTATTCATTTTGTACACTTCTTAGAATTCAACTTGTTAGCACACTAACCATGACAAAATGGATATAAGAGGGCATGTTTTAGCTGCCAAAGAGTGCATTTTATATTAAAATATATGTAATGCGTGGAACCTCACAGAGGAATAATGAAAGATGCAATAGCATGTTGTGAAAATGTCTATTAAAATAATGGCAATAGTTATCTTTGTGTGTGTCATTCACAATCTGATTGATATGAAAATGGTAGGGAACAAGCACACTGAAAAGCAGGAAAAACAAACATGGATTAAAAAATGAATGAGCCCAACAACAACTCATTGTATAGCCTGTTGATACTATGAGGGAAATCTGTTTTATAGTTCTCTGTTTGGTGTTACTGGCAACTATTTACTGGTACTTATAGGTCACTCTTGTATGATCCTTATCACCATGGCTCACTACAAGTGGTTTGAGGAATGGTCTGAAGGCCGTGTGAGGAACAGAGGGGCTGACTATGACGCCTTCAAGATGGAGATTGCCCAGCAGCTCCTAGATGTGGCTCTGGCAAAGTTCCCTCAGCTCAGTGACAAGGTAAGGCCTTGGCAGTACCCTTTGAGGAGAGCAGTGCCTAGGTGTCTTGTAATGCCTCTACCCTTTTTGGGGGGAATAATAAAATGGATGTATCATTTCAGCAGGTTTTTTCAAGAGGAGAAATCCTCAAAACATTTATTAGAGGCAGGATTCATCTGGGGGAGGATTTCTATGACATGCCATTTTTTTTCTCTTGCAACCTTAACTTACTCATCAGGGAGTTCTACAGCTTGGGAGCAGCCACCAAGAAGGCCCTTTTTTGTGCCCTCGCCAAACTTGCCAATGAAAGTGGCTTGTCATGAAGGTCTCGAGACCTGGACAGGCTCTGATGAGGAAATAGGGTCCTTTAGATAGTCTGGATCCAGGACATGTAGTACTTTATAGATCATAACTAGCACTCTAAATTGTGTCTGGGTCTGGAAAAATAGCCAGTGTCTCTGTTGTAGCAATGTATTTCTATCCCCTCTCTAACCAGCTCCAGTCAGCAATCTGGCCACAAGATCTTGGAGACTTGGACCCATCAAAATTTCCAAACACTTTCTAGAAACAGCCTCACATAAAGTACACTACAGTAATGCACATGGATGTGTGTCACCACAGACAGATCAGCTGTCAACAAAACAGATGTAGATCATACCCTAATTTCAACTCTACAACATACTCCCTGCCATTACTAGAGTGTCCACATTTGGGGCTTAGTTCTGCAGTTCCCCAAACTGAAAACCTGACAATAATTGCCTTTCTTTTTATATTTTCTTCTTACTTCTAGATAGACTTTATGGAAGCTGCCTCTCCACTCACCAACCAGTACTATCTAGCTGCTCCTCTGGGAGAAATGTATGGAGCTGAGCATGATCTGTGCCGCTTTGATCCACTGGTTATGGCTGCCATGAGACCCAAGACTCCCGTTCAGAATCTCTACTTAACAGGTCTGTGGCTTTTTCATCCCCTACATGTTTTAAACAGATAAAGGGGAACACAGCCTGGGAATAACTAGTTACAATTGACTGTTGTAACTCTTTCATTACATTTTTCAGCTAACTAGTTAGTTGTAGATAATTCATTTTTTTCCAGTAATGGAGGTATAACTATAACCTAGAGATTGTATACATCAGTGCATATGCAGTGTTTGACTGCAAAGTCAGGGGTCAGGAGTTTTGAATCCTGGGAAAGTATATGGCTAGTGGGATTACATGCACCACCCTCTGTGCAGCCTTAGGTAAGCTGCACAGTGATTAAAAGAGGGTAAACCACTTCTGAGTCTTTTAAAAACTACATTTGAGAGATGCCATAATTTGGAAACAATGACACACAATTATTTATGCAATCAAATGGTTAACTAAACTAATCATGAAAATCAGGTTTCAGAATACCGTGGAGAGCCTCTATATTCAGGAGATGATGCTTCGAAGCTGAAAACAGCTAATACGCTGTACTGCTTTCCTCTTGTCTTTAGATAACCTTTAGACAGAATGCCTGAGTAGGGCTACAGTTACATTACAACTGTAATGTGTAGGTAGCTGCTTCTTTTATGATATAACTGTAACTGTGTTCATTACTTTTTTCAGTAATGTCACAGTCCAAGCACAGCCTTGTGCTATGCCTTTTGTTCATTTGTGCGTATTGATGGGGGAAGAAAAGGAGGAGAAAGGGAGTCCGTTTTGTTTCATTCAGTTGTTTATTTAGTTTTTGGAAATTGACAAGAAGGAATTTTTTGTTCCTTTTAAGAATAGAGAAAGCAAAGAGTTACTTCTCTATAATTATAATTTTAATGATGACTATTTTTTCTTCAGACAATAATGGGGACAATTAATCACTTTTAAAATATAGCTTTGGGAATGAACAGGTAAAGAGGAATCAGTGTTCAGGTTTCTGTCTCATGTCAGTCCCTCTTTCACTGGGAACTGCCCAGGAGTTAATGAACATGTAAGGCCTCAGTAAACTGAAACTAGCATCTGTGTGAATACACCCTGCAACTTTCTCTGAGGTGTATCTTTTCATCCCCACAATCTAGGACAAGATGTCTTCTGCTGTGGCCTTGCAGGTGCTCTGAATGGAGGCTTGCTTTGTGCCTCTGCTGTGCTTGGACGCAACATTTACTTGGACCTTCTCAAACTGAAGAGGAAGCTGAACACACTGAACCACAAGAAAGAGGCCTAGTCATCTCAACTGGAGCTACCCTCTCAAAAACCAACCTATTACACGTTGGTCCTAGGAACACAAGGCCTATCTAGTCCATGGTCTTGGTTCTCCTAGTAGAGAATTGGATGCCTTAAGAAAGCCAATGTTAGGCCTTGAGGAAACAGCTCTCCTGTGCTGTTCTTCTCCACTATTTGGTGTTCAGAACTGCACAGCCTCTTTATCGTGCAGGTAATACATACCCTGTTTTCTCCAAAATAAGACCTAACCTGAAAATAAGCCCTAGTATGATTTTTCAGGATTATCGTAATATAAGCCCTACTCCAAAAATAAGCCCCAGTTAAGTGAAACGCCACCCTCCGCCATTGTGCAGCAACCAGAAGACTGCATGACTGTATTTGAATAAATGTAGATTGTTATACATGAAAAAACAAAAACAAAATATTCTCTGAAAATAAGCCCTGATGAGTTTTTCAGAGCAAAAATTATTATAAGACCCTGTCTTATTTTCAGGGAAACATGGTAGTCATAATGATTAGTCACCATTATGGTCCATGGATTTGTCTTATTTCCTTTGAAAACCATCTGAATTGTTTGCCATCTTGGCATTGGCAGATTCATTTGGTAATGGAAAGCATTCTGCCTTTATATTGCGGAGGTAATATATGGGCATATTGATTAGTAGCCATTATGCTCCATGAATTTGTCTTATTTCCTTTGAAAACCATGGGTTGCCATCTTAGTACTGTATTGGCAAATTCTAGAGCTTAACCATGTGTCTCATGGAGAAATAAACACTTCATTTCCTATACTGTGTTTCTTGTTCTTTTCTCATTTGAAATGAGAAATAGGGATTGTTTGATTTTGTTTTATACATTTTAAGATGACAGCCTGGCCTCATGCATCTCTCTTCACCACCACACACCTGGACTTTCTCACATTTAAGTCTGCCTACCAAAGTTGCCACTCAGTTTTCAGGCATGAGCATTTGGGTGAAAAGCTAGCGGTTCCAAAAATCTTACTTGGGGTAATCCTTTGGTGTTATAGGACAGTTTCAGAGCTCTGGTGCCACCAGTACTAATTCAGGCTCCCCACATTGGATGCCTAAGCCAACATTTTCATGTCCCCCGCTGCTCTGATGTGAGCTTACGTCAGGCACTCCGGAAAATTCATTTCACAACTTTCAGCCCTCATTTGAGTGTTGGTGCCGTTGTGAGAGAACTCCAGGAGTGAGGTCATTGACAGAAGGATTGCATCCTCCAGAGGGCACTTTGCCACACACTCCCTCCAACTTTGCACTGGACCTGATATGGGGGATGTTTTCCTGTTTCCACATCATGATGATCGCTTTCCAAGAATAAGGGTATGTGTGGTGGTGCAGGGGGAGTTTCTGTCCAAAGCCCTTTTAGGCACTGTTTTAATTGGCTTCACATGTTTGTTTCCTGCTGTGTTCCTATTCTGTTTTGCAGGAATGGGGACTGATGAGTCACGACTCGCTGTCGAGTCCAGCTTAAGTCGCACTAGCAACCCAACTCAGACTCAACTTATTTCTGTGTATACTTTTAGACGATACTTTTATTCCTATTCTGTTTTGCAGGAATGGGGACTGACGAGTCACGACTTGCTGTCGAGCCCAGCTTAAGTCGCACCAGCAACCCAACTCAGACTCAACTTACTGTATTTTTCTCTGCATACTTTTAGACGATACTTTTATCTAAAATCTTTAGACCAAAAATTGAAGGTCGTCTTATACATGGAAATAAGGAAGTTGGCAGCAGGAAAACAGGCTTTTGGGGCCGCATCGGGCACTGAGGTAGTTGGCAGCAGCAAAGTACCATGTCTTGCCCCATTGGGCACTGAGGTAGTTGGGAGCCGGAAAGCAGGCTTTTTGGCCCCATCAGGGCAGTGAGGGGAAAGGCAGCAGACCATACTCTGGTCTTCTTCAACTACATCAGATTTGCCTGCAAAGAAAAGATTTTTGCCCCCAGGAGGTAACTGAGGTTGCTTGCAACTTCCAACAGCACCAGGAGCATTATCAGATGAACAGGGTCGGTGCTACTAATAGCGGTTAATCTGCGGGGCTGTCGGAAACAGATCAGCTCCTCAATCTGGAGGAGGAGCGATGGGGTGACAAAGATGCTTGTTTAGAACTAGAAAGCTGGGGATTGCTTGCAACTTGGCTGCAGAGACTGCCCAAATATGATAAAGCCTTCAGAGGTTTGGGGGGGCTTAGACAGGCCGGCCCCCTTGGCACAGATTGAAAACCAGACAAGCTCTACTGTCTGAAGCTGGGTGATGGGATGATGTGAAAACCAGACGAGCTCTACCGTCTGAAGCTGGGTGATGGGATGATGCCTGGACATGCTTTGGGTGGGGCTGAGACAGGCCCTCTTTGGCACGAGGGATGCCCAGACAGGCTTTGGGTGGGGCACAGCCTGACCTAGGAGACTCACCTGTCCACCAATGTCTAAGTAGACTTGCTGACAACTTTCAAAAAACCAAAGATGTTTGTTTAGAACTAGAAAGCTGGGGATTGCAACTTGGTTTCTAAGACTGCCCAAATATGATAAAGATAGTCCTTGAAGTTTGGGGTAGGTCTTAGACAGCTCTGCCCTCTTGGCACGGGGACGCCTGGACAGGCTTTGAGTGGGGCAGGGACAGACCTGGTTGGGGATTAGCAAAAGGTGGCCATGGAGGTGTGTTGCTTGTTTTTGAAAACAAAAGGAAGCAAGCAACACTTATTAGCAGCAACAATAACATCATCAGATGAATTGCTCCACCTCATTGGGAAGGTAGGACTAATGGCGTTGGCTTTCTGTGTCTAGTCATGCGCCATCATCAGATGAATTGCTCCACCTCATTGGGAAGGTACAACTAATGGCGTTGGCGTTCTGTGTCTAGTCATGCGGGGCACACGAGGAAGTTGGCAGCAGCAACGTAGACTGTGTTGACAACAAAGAGAGCCCTCAGAGGTTTTGGGGGGCTTGGACCAGCCAGCTCTCTTGGCACGGATTGAAAAACTAGATCAGGTCTGCAATCTGAATGAATTGCTCCACCTCATTGGGAAGGTACAACTAATGGCGTTGGCGTTCTGTGTCTAGTCATGCGGGGCACACGAGGAAGTTGGCAGCAGCAACGTAGACTGTGTTGACAACAAAGAGAGCCCTCAGAGGTTTTGGGGGGCTTGGACCAGCCAGCTCTCTTGGCACGGATTGAAAAACTAGATCAGGTCTGCAATCTGAAGTTGTGCGATGGGGTCATGGGGTGAGGCTTGGATGGGGCAGAGCCCAGCTTTGGGTGTGCCAACATGGGCGGACAGCCCTCTGTCTTGGCACATTATGGGCATCACCCAACACTTTGTTCTTGTACATTTTTCTTACTGCTCAGTCTAGGGTCTGCCAAGAGAGCTGAACGGCCCTCTGTGCTTGTTCAGGGGTGCCGGGACCAGCTCTGGGTGTGCCAGCTAAGAGGATTAGATGGCCCTCTTGGCATGTTTGGGTGACACGCAGACAGTCTTTGGGTGGGGCAGAGCCCGGCCACGCTGCTATTGCAGCAGTTAATTCGCAGGGCTGATGGTGCACTGAGCTAATTCATTTGGATAGTTTGTTCCAACTCCTGCCTATCTATTTCAGTCCCCAGATGCGACTGAAAGCAGAGTGTGTTGGCCATTCGGGCACTGCGGTAGTGGGCAGCAGTATTTGGATAGTTTGTTCCAACTCCTGCCTACCTATTTCCGTCCCCAGATGGGACTGAAAGCAGAGTGTGTTGGCCATTCAGGCACTGCGGTAGTGGGCAGCAGCAATGTAGAGTGTGTTGCCGCATCAGATAGCTGGCTTCAAAGTAGGCAGGAAAGCATGTCTTAATAGGCATTGGCCACTGAGGCAATTGGCAGCAAAGTAGGCTTTGCCCATTGGGTGTGTAGTGGCAGAAATCTTCAACATCGATGAGCAAGAGGGTGGCGTTTGCCATGAAGATGGCATATAAAATAGAAGCCTCCAGAAATAATTATTTAGTGAAGTATGCTGTTTTTGACTACCAAGAAGGGCTTGGGTCAGCCCAGCCCTCTTGGCACCGGGAAGCCAGGAGGGCAGCTTTGGAAAACCAGATGATCAGCTCTGCAGTCTGAAGTCATGCAATGGTGTTGTTTGTTTTGTTATTGATGAAGGAAAGGGATGGTGGTTGTTGTTGGCACAAGATAAACCTGCCCCAGGCTTGCCGTATAACCACACTAGATGTCTGTCATTTCCAGGAAGGGCTTGAGCACCTCCACCATCTGGGAGAGGGCCAGCCAATCTGTGGCACTGATGCCCACCTCTCTCCCCCTGGGCAGAATGGGCATGGAGGACATGATGTCCTCCAAAATGGCCTTCTGCTCCACCAAGTGGGACATCATTGTGTAGGTGGAGTTCCACCTGGTGGGCAGGTCTGTCAGGAGAATGTGGGTCTCCTGACCCAACTCCTCCTGCCTCCCACGTAGCCGGTAGGCAGCTTTCAGGCTGCAGGAGAAGTGGACCACCAGTTGGCAGCATTGCTCCAGGAGTGCCTGCATCTCCCAGGTGCCTGTGTCCCACTCGGGCTTGATGTGGCTACCTCAAAGCCCACCATGTTCAATGCCACCAACATGTTCAGCCCAGCATCTGTGACCATGTGGCCATGGGTCACCTCCCACTCCAGTGCCCACTCCTGCAGCATGGACAGGAACTCATCGGTGATGTTCCGTCCCAACGACTGAACTTTGATGTGCCACGCCTGCAACAGAACGGACCTGTAGCCTGGGGGCAGGGCAAGTGCCCCCCCCCGTGGCCCTGTCGCCGATGCCCTGCCATTACTCAAGTCCTCTGGCTGCCACCAGTGGGCTGTGAGTGAGAGGTAGTTGTGCTGACCTCTGCTCCACGGGTCAGCTCCACAGACACACGACAACAGTCCCCGCTCATGGGTGGCCAATGGAAGCTGTAATTCTAAAAAGTTCTCTCTCTCTCTCTCTCTCTCTCTCTCTCTCTCTCTCTCACTCACTCACTCACTCACACACACAGACACAAACACACACACACACACACACACACACACACACACACACACACACACACACACACACACACACACACACACACACACACAAAACCCTATTTCCAGGAAAAACAAAGGTCTGATTGATTTGAATTTGAAATAAAATTAAGCCCTTCTGAAGAAGTAGCCTAAGCTACCTGAAATCCCTCCCCAGAAGTGGGGAACGGCCAGATGGGAAAAGCTTATATGAAGCATCTGTAAAAGTAGATGCACCTTTCAGCAGCGCTATTGGCTGCCAGACATGCCAATCCAGGATCTCTGTCCTGATTGGCCTGAGCTTCAAATTGGCACCAGCAAGCTCAGAGAGGCCCCCCAAAGGGATAACGAATATAGACAAATATGAATGGATCGACAAATAAAACCGAGGAAATATTCGTCAAGCCATATTCGTCCTGATTTAAAATTTTACAAATATGGATCGGCGAATAAATGACGAATCGGCTATATTCGCCAGAAAAACTGGTCTGTTTTTATATTCGTCCCTATCTCTAGTTTTAATACACCTAATTGCTTTTTAAAAGTAACTTTCCAAACTTCATGAAGTAAGAAATTCAAGTGGGCTTTACTCAGGTGTGAAAATAGGTTGGTTGGCCTCAACTTCTATCTGCCTTGAATGGGAAAAATGTGCCATTTGCTGGTGGTCTTCCACAGGCAGCGAAACAATTTAGTTCTAGCTCTGAGAGATCAGTTGTGAGCTTAAGGACTTACATTCCTATCTTTCCCCTTAGTTGGCTTGTTGCCCTGATTGGTCACGTGGATGATAATGAGATAAATTTGCTCAGGCTTCGCAACCTGGTCTCAGGGACAAAGCCCAGTGGGTCTGTTCTTCTCAGGCAAACAATCAGCCATGTGGTTTTACTTGCTGCTTCTGTTACTCACCTTTCTGATCCCCAGCCTTGTTTTCTTCTTTCTTATCCATGGGTTTGGGAGGAACCCTTTTAGCCAGGCAACTGTGAGCTCTCCAAAGCCTATCGTCACGGATTATGAAGCTCGCAAAAAGGTGCTCCAGAAAGGTAAGTGAGCCTGTATGAAGTGACCATGAAGTAGACTGATGGGAAGGAATGCTGTTCTTCAGAATGCTAAAAGCCAGTCACACTATTGGGTTAGAATAGAGAATCCTGTGGGGAAGGTTTTCTTGTTTGGTTCTTATAGGCAAAAGCATTCTGTGCTTGCCTGGTTTCTATCAAGTACAGTGGTGCCTCGCTAGACAGTTACCCCGCATGACAGTTTTTTCACTAGACATTGACTTTTTGCGATCGCGATCACGATTCGCAAAACAGTGATTCCTATGGGGGAATTTTGTTGGACAATGTTTGGTCCCTGCTTCACAAACCGATTTTTGCTAGACGACGATTTGCTTTTCGCTAGACAATGATTTCACTAGACAGCGATTTCAGTGGAATGGATTATCATCGTCTAGCAAGGCACCACTGTAAAGGCAAAAAGACAAACGGTAGAAGGAACGCAAATGGAAATCTCAAATTACAAAATATTAACTGAGACAATCATGTATTATCACATTTACCCCTGGTTTTACATTTCTGTGTCCGCTGATGTTTTCCTGCAGCAAATCTTTGGTTGTGACCAGATATTTTATTGCAGGCTCAAGGCATCTGACCCCTGTAAAGAACCATGCTCTTGGAAAAATTAATATTTGGGGACTACGGATCCCAAAACCTCCCAAGCCAGAGGATTCTGGGAGTTGTAGTCCAAAGCTCTGTGTATACCAATGGTACTTCATAGCTGAGTACATTAAATTAGATACCCAGTGTGGTGTACTGGATAGAGTGATGGAGTGGGACCCAGGAGATCCGGATTTGAATCCATGCTCATCCATGGAAACTCCCTGCGGGTGTAGAACTGGTAAAACTACACCCTAAATCTCTCATTTACCATGAAAGCCCTATTAGGGTCATTATATGTCAGTTCCAACTTAGCAGAACATAATAGATAGATAGATAGATAGATAGATAGATAGGCAGGCAGGCAGGCAGGCAGGCAAGCAAGCAAGCAAGCAAGCAAGCAAGCAAGCAAGCAAGCAAGCAAGCAAGCAAGCAAGCAAGCAAGCAAGCAAGCAAGCAAGCAAGCAAGCAAGCAAGCAAGCAAGCAAGCAAGCAAGCAAGCAAGCAAGCAAGCAAGCAAGCAAGCAAGCAAGCAAGCAAGCAAGCAAGCAAGCAAGCAAGCAAGCAAGCAAGCAAGCAAGCAAGCAAGCAAACATCAGAGGCAAAGCTTCAGTGTTGGGGTATCTGGTTGTGAAGCCAGCGCTTGGACGTTCAATTCCCCACTGTGCCTCCTTGACAGGCTGGACTTGATGATCTCTAGAGTCTTCCTCTGCAGATCAAAGAGGTCTAAGAGTTTTTAAAAATCCAAGCTCAAACTATGATGGGGCTGCTAAGTATGGCTTCTCCCATGCTTTGCACAATATTTCAAGAGTATGAAAACCAAGGTCTAAATTTTTTTTAAAAAGCTGGGTGTAATTTCACAGATTTTCCTGAGTTGTTTGTAGGACGTTTCCAAATTCCTGAATTAAGAGCAGTGTAATCATGTGTCTTACTGTATCAAGAATGATCCTCTTTAAAGCCCCCTACTGCTTGACTATGCCATCCAATTCCAATTTACAGAGCAAAATCCATAAGAAGATAGAGTAAAAAGGGGATTTGAAGTTTCCCATTAATTGAGACTTAGAACCTAGAATAGAATGAGCAACGAAACACACAGGTCACCTGTGGTCACAGTCTTCCTCATTGTGGTGAGATACATTGCACTTCTGCTTACCATCATAGTGATTATTCCCACATATACTGTACATTTATACATACATTAGCATAGCCAATTCTGTCCTTTTCATTGATGCATATCCTCATTTTGGATATCCAGATTCTAAAGTTTTTAGTTCAGAATACTGGACTTAACAACAATTAATCTTTCAGTTTTATTGATAAGGACTTGTTTTTGTCAAAGGAACCTACAGATCTAGAGACCAGGAAAACTGGGGGTTCTCTTGAGCTGCCCATCGGCTATAAATTTCTCTTGAAACTTTTACCTACTATGACATCATTGCACCCTGGTCTGGCCCTTAAAACTATGCCCTTTATAGAACTTGAAAAAAGTTAGAGTTTGGGGCTACGACTCTTAGAATCACCAAGCCAGATTCTGGAAGTAATAATGTCAAAATTTATTCTTCCTGAGCTCTGGCTGCTGCCATAGAGATAAAGTCAAAAGGCTGCTCTCTTAAGCACAGCAGTTGTAGTTATAATCATAATCATTTTAGAACTCCAGAACTGGAAGGGATTCTATGGATCACGGAGTCCAGGTCTTGTCAAGGAGGCATAGCAGAGAACTGATCTATCAACTTATGGCTCCACAGCCAGAGACCGTCCTAAACCAAAGAGGTAGCCAGCAGTCCTTTCACTGTTGTTCTTGCTCTTAAGGCCAAAAGTACAGTACAGGATAGCAATCAATCAGCCACGTGTGTTTCCCTTCCTCCTTCCTTTTGGCTCTTAATGCTAGATGACCAGAGGATTGAGAAAGAGCACAGGCAAGCAAAACAGTCTCCCTGCAATGAACCCTGATGTCAGTCTAAAGTTTGTGTAAGTGGAATAATTATACATTCTCTCAATGCTGAAACTAGCTAGTTTTGCCCTGAGATAAGAATATAACCCCAACTTTAGTCCTACCCAGAGCAAATCTTCTAAAACCATTAAGGGGCATTAACAGATGGTGGGTAAGCACGTGTCAGATCACACAGGAAAGGGAGCATTAAAGGGACCCTTCGTTCTCCTGGGGAATCACTCCAATACTGGCCCCCACAGGTAGTAGCTCTAGAGTTGGACCCAAAAAGGTCCAGCTTGGGCATGGATCAAGGATGTCTATTTATTTGTTTTTATTTATTTAAATTTTTTCTCCGCCTGTCTTCTTTTTTTAAAAAAAACTGAGACCATTTACATGATTAAAAGACAACATGAAAGCTTACAACAGCGAGAATACAAAAATTGAAAAGGATGAAACAAATGGCATACTGAAAAAATATAAGCAACACCAAAACACATTCAAAGCAGTAAGATACAACAATACATTTAAAAACCCCACTCAAGCAGCCGGTAACTCAGAGAAAGTTTGCCTGAAGAGAAAGGCTTTCACCTGCTTGCAGATGTCACCTTAATTTGTTTAAGTTAGGGTATATATAGACAGCAGGGGAAGTGATTAATTTGCTAATATCTTGAAGTGGCTCACTTATCCTGAAGTGGCTCACATCACAATCTACTGCTGTGGATTTAACTGTGAGCAGTTTCTTGACCAGCTCTTTAAGGCAAGGCAAAGAAAATATTTAAAATATACATAGAACTGATGTAGTGCATCAGCACTAATCTGCATAGAGTCAAAAAGATTTATTTCACTTTCTCTGCCCTCTGCCAAATAGGAGATATAATTAATTTGCAAATAACCTGAAGTGGCTTGCTTATCAAGTCACTTCACAAGTTTGGGAAATTGAAAGTGGAAGGATTGTTTTGGATTGGTTGAAGAACTCATTGCTGGAATTGGTCCAACCCAGAGTGATCCTGCCCACACCATAAAAGTAGAAGCCCCTTAACAGGGGCCTGAAGGGTGCAGGTACGGATGGTCTGGAGGCAGGCTGAGGTATCAGCCATCTTTAAGACTGCACCAGTCCACTCCAACAGTGCTCCAAACAGTGGACTAAACAGTCTGTGTAGTCAGCTTCTTAGTTGTGTCTCACAGGTCTCATTGGGCTACTCGAGGCAGGACATACTTATATTGGATTGAGATTCATTGTGATTTAAAACTCCTGAGTAACCCAAGGTTAAGAACCAGTGGACTAAACAGTCTGTGTAGTCAGCTTCTTAGTTGTGTCTCACAGGTCTCATTGGGCTACTCGAGGCAGGACATACATTGGATTGAGGTCATTGTGATGATCTATTATTTTGAATCATGCCTTCCCTTAAAGCTGTGGTTCCCAACCTTGGGTTACCAGATGTTCTTGGATTACAACTCTTGGAAATCCTGGCCAACACAGCTAGCAGTGAAGGCTTCTGGGAGTTTCAGTTTGAGAACATCTGGAGAGCCAAGGTCAGGAACTATTGACTTAAAGGCTTTTCCTCTGTGTACCATTCCTTCAGATCCATGTGAGCTGAGGTGACCTGTACTGTAATCTCTCTGATGCTGGGACTGATCTATGATCTGTACACCACCTGGTACATCGTTAGCATGAAATAAGTGGTCGCACGAAACAAGTTACGACTGTGATTTATGGGGCTGCTGTATTCTAGATAAGGGTTGTAGTTATTAACAGAAGGATGTCCTTTGATGTGTATGGCAAGTTGGCCATATTTTGATCACTTCTCTAGGGTATACCTTGGTTCCCATAGAAACTATCACTTTCATTAATTAAGTTCAGAGACACTGCTTGATAGTACTGATTTGACAGCAATAATTTGATAGTGTTTTCAGCAATACCTTGTCCCATTTTAAGTGTCGTGTTATTATTCTGGCTGTTGTACGGTGATTATTGTTTTATGGCTATTTTGCAATTTTATGACTATATAGATTGCGTTTTTATTATACTGTAGTCAATTTATATAGGCTTTAGGCAACTGAAAACTTCAACAGATAAATGCCATGACAAAATGTCTACGAAATATTTTCTTTAAGTGAGTAGTGCTCAGTGGTTGAAACATATTGCATGTTTTTCCAGAATTTTAACCATTCATAGAATTCAAGCATATCTTAGAATTCTAGGCTATGTCAATATAATTGGCTTCTATTTAATCCCTTTCTTTTCCATTCTAGATCTGACTGGGCATATTTGAGATGGAAATAATTTCCTCTCATAGAAGCACTCAGTTACAGGCTGCGAGGGAAACATTTGTCAGTTTTCCTTTGCCACACTAGTGCATTTTTCAGATCTTTTTTCTGTCCTAAATATGAAGACTTTGGGGAATTTTGGTAAATTCTTCAAAAATGAAGTGAAATTATGCTCTATATACACCAGTAAAATTCAACAGGTAGAGCTATCATGGAGAACATTATGTTGTACCTTCTGGCTGCATAGGCATAGATGATTACGAATCTCTCACAGGAAAGTGTGGCAACCCTGATTCAAGACTAACATACAGTAATTTAATGCACTCTGATTCAGTCCTGGACTTTGAAGAATGAAATAATCAAAGCCTAAATAGATCCAGAGGCCTGGATGGAAGAATCTGTTGCTTTCAGTTTTGACTATATACCCTTTTAAAGCTCAAAGGTTTTGTTTTGTTCTGCATTCTAAAAATGAAGAAATTTGCAGATTTTAGACCCATTCTCTTCACCCAATTAAGGGTGTGAACACATGGTGAAATAGATCACAATTTGGATTCCTTGTGGACCACTCTGGCATGATCTGTTGACCATTGATGACACAACAAAAAAAGTGCTCCAGACTGACCCTGATACCTTCCCAAGACGAATCTTTTTGGCCCAGCTCCAGGGCTCCTACTTTTGGGCGTTATGCTGTAGTGATTTCCCAGGAGATGGAAGCGTTTAAAGGAAATGGCTCCCATTAAAACAACTCTTTCCAGTGCAATCAGCTGCATGCCTTTGCAGTCTGAATGCACCCTGATATGATTATTTCCCATCCATTTCTAAACTGAATTAGGGATATGATTTTCTTTGCCTCTTCCTCTCTCCTTCTCAGGCTTTTCGCCAAATGCAGTGCCACCCAACCTAGATGCAATAGTGATCGGGAGTGGCCTCGGAGGCCTGTCTGCGGCCGTAGTCTTGGCGAAGGCTGGGAAACGGGTTCTGGTGTTGGAGCAGTACACCAAGGCCGGAGGATGCTGCCACACTTTTCAGGAAAAAGGCTTTGAATTTGATGTTGGTAAGGGCGAAAGTTTCTGAGAAGGAAAAACTATTTGAGGAGGAAGACCCAGTGCCACCAACTGTCTCACTGTGTTCATGTACACTAAGATTTAGGGATATGGGAATAGTTCACAATGTTTGCAAAGTCCGGTACACATTCTGTCCCAATCCACACAGACTAATAGAATGTTTAGATTGAAGCTTAGGGCTTGACTAGACAGTTAAATTGGAGCAGCCTGGATCAGGCTAAGTAGGGTTGCTTAAGGTCACACAGCGATACGATATGCCATCTGAGGCAATCCTTACATTCACATGCCATCCACACCTCAAGCGACCCTATTTGGCCCACCTCCCTTTAAAGAGAAGGAGAAAACAAAACAAAACAAAAAAAACATCCTCCTTGCCTCCTCCTCCTCCTTCCAGGAAGAAGCTTTCAATTTGTCTTCATGTTTTCTAAAAGGTACAGCACGTCAGCAGTGCCCTAACAAGCTTAAGGGGGAAAAACATTTGTTTCTTCCCTCTCTCCCATCATGGAGGAGTAGAGGACATCTTAAATTTCCCAGTATCATGAAGTGACTAAGCTGCTTGTGAGATTGGGAAACTGAAAGCAGCAACCTGTTCACTTTGGTTCAATCCCGGAGACTGCACATGTTGGAACCAAACCAAAACTGAGGAATTATTTTTGTTTCGTTGTTTAGTCGTGTCCGACTCTTTGTGACCCCATGGACCAGAGCACGCCAGGCCCTCCTGTCTTCCACTGCCTCCCGGAGTTGGGTCAAATTCATGCTGGTAGCTTCGATGACACTATCCACCCATCTCGTCCTCTGATGTCCCCTTCTCCTCTTGCCTTCACACTTTCCTAACATCAAGGTCTTTTCCAGGGAGTCTTCTCTTCTCATGAAATGGCCAAAGTATTGGAGCCTCAGCTTCAGGATCTGTCCTTCCAGTGAGCACTCGGGGATGATTTCCTTCAAAATGGATAGGTGTATATATAATAATAATAGCCCTAGCTAAGAGTCAGAAAGGTACAGGAAAGAATGCTCTGAGGATGGACAGGTTTGCCCTGGCACTCACATTGTGTGGTTGCCAGGAAAAGGAATGAAACAACCCATTCCCAAGAATGGACCCAAACGGTGGGACAAATCCACAGGTAGTCACTCCTTTAGAAGTACCAGATTTCATACTTCCTGAACGTGCAGATGTGGATTACATAGTATGAAGGGCTTGAAGCACATGTAAAATTGTAAACGCCTTCAAAATTAGACACCTTGTTAGAACAACGTTGGTCCTGTTGCAAAGGAGTTGGAGACTTCTGCCTTGCCCAGACGTGTGGGCCATGGACCACATTGGGCCCTCAAGGATGGTTTTTGAATCCCTCTAAACTCAATCAAGACTCGTCCAGGTCTCTGCTTTTTTCCCTAGTAGAGGTCATCTTCAAGAAGACTGTCCTCTGGCAGGCTTTCAAATAAAGCAGACGTTCCCAACCTTAGGTCTTCAAATGTTCTTAGACTAAAACTCCCAGAAGCCTTCACCACTAGCTATGCTGGCAAGTATTTCTGGAAGTTGGTCTAAGAACATCTGGGGACCCAAACTTGTGAGTTGTAAATGAATCTATAAAAGGGGACACATGCCTGGTCTTGTGCACTATGGTGGTCACAGGACCAGAGAGAGTTTGAACTTACAGACAAGTAGAGGTAGACCTGTCACAAAGCACACTTGAAAGGTTTGCTAATGCACAAATAAGCCAAAGCAGGAGTGAAAGGCATATCTGCTCAAATGATTGTTCCATCTTCCCAAATTTCCTCTCCCTTTTCTGACTTTGGGTTTTCACTTTTTACAGGTGTCCACTATGTGGGGCAAATGCACAAGACAGGCTTGACACGAGTGATCATGGACCAGCTCACCGACGGGCAGCTGGACTGGGTTCAGTTAGAGGATCCTTATGACATTATAACTCTTGGGGACAAAGAGTACCAAATGTTCTCTGGCAAGAAGGCCTTTGTGGAGGAGCTGCAGAGGCAGTTCCCGGAGGAGAAGGAAGCCATCAAAGAGTTCATGAGGCTGTCAAAGGTGAGAGAGAGAAGACTGGCTCATTGTATGTAATCAGGATATAGTGAGTTCTTATAAAGCTTATAATTCTCAGCAATTTGCTCAGTCTTGCCATGCCAGGATTCCCCACCAAGACTTTCTCTTGTATCAGTGACTTCCTCTAAATTCACTCAAACTTGCCCTTCTATTTTATTTAGTGCATGTTCAGGAAAATTTCAAATTTTGTGCACTGTAATCCTCTCTCTGAAGAATCCCGTGCAGGAAACATTTTGTTTTGCTCAGGAACTGGAATAATATTGTGCAGTTTGGCATTTCTTCCAGAAAAATTGACCACAACATATCTGAGAAATGCCACTAGATCCCTTCAAAGATTTGCCTGCTTGCAGAAGGATAGCAAAGATGGGGCCAGGCTGGCCCTTTGTGGGAGGGAGTTCGAAAGGCTGGGAGTAGTAACAGAGAAGGCCCTCTCTCATGTCCCCACTGAACATACCTATGAAGGTGGTGGGACCTAGAGAAAAGCCTCTCCTAATGATCTTAATACCAAGGCAGGCTCATAAAGGGATATATGGTGTTTTAAATATCTTAGACTCCAACTGTTTATGTTAAAAACAGCACCTTGAATTGTTTTTGGAAATGGATTGGCAGCCAGTGGATCTGCTGTAACACGAGATTTGTATGTTCCCTGTAACCAGCCCCAGTTAAAAAATTGGCTGTGGCACTTTGGACCCACTGGAGTTTCTGAACACTTTCCAATGGCAGCCCCAAGTTGAGTGTGTTACAGTAGTCCAGCTGAGATGTAACCAAGGCATGTGTCACCATGGTCAGACCAGACCTTTCCTGGAATGGGTACGACTGGCACACTAGTTTTAACTGTGCAAAGGGACTGCCAGCCACTGCCCAAACACGAGCATCCAGGCTCAGAGACAAATCCAGGTGGCCCAACCCAAGCTGCATGCCTGTGTTTTCAGAGAGAATGCAACCCTATCTAGATGGGTTGGATCCCTATTCCTTGATCTGCCTTCTGGCTGACCAGGAGCACCTCTGTCTTATCTGTCTTACATAGCAAAGGAGATACAGTACAGACAGTATCCTGAGCTTGCAGGAGCAGATCTCAGCTAAGTTGGATATTTAATTGTACTTATCAAATTTTCCCATCTTCTCCCCAAAGATTGTAGTGAGGCACATGCCTTTGATTGTCATCTTAAAGATGATTCCCTTCTGGCTGTCTACCTTCCTGATCCGATGGGGCATCGTTCACTGGATCTCTCCTGTTTTCAGATTGTTAAATACCAGCCACAGCAAAATCATAGAGCAGCTGACCACCAACAAAGACCTGCGTGCTATCTTCAGTTATTTGTTCTATGGTGAGGAAAGGGTGGCGAGTTTTCTTGGTGGTTGTTTTTCTTCATAGTAACTTTTTTCCCATTCATTCTACAGGGTTTGGACCATTCCTTCTTTCAGAGAGGCCACACCTCCCTACCCTATTGGAGTACCTCCTTTCCTTGCTGAAGGGCTGAGGGTCAATCCCTACAACCTTTACTTTGACTCTGGAGAGCATCTGTCAATCCCTGTAGCTCAGAGTTGGGAAAATTTGGCTCTCCAGATGTTTTGGACTACAACTCCCACAATTCATTACTTGTGGCCATGTTGTGACAAGTGGACTGATTGGAGCTGGAGTCAAAGCACCTAAAGGGCTGGACATTCTTCATTTACCATGTACATCGGTGGTTCTCAACCTTGAGTCCCCAGAGGTTCTTAGATTAAAACTCCCAGAAGCCTTCACCACTAGCTGTGCTGGCTAGGATTTCTGGGAGTTGTGGTCCAAGATCATTTGGGGATCCAGTGTTGGAAACCACTGATGGTAGATAATCATTCAACAAATATGGGTTTTTAGAGCATGAGCGCTCATGTTGCCTATTCCTTGTTGCAATGACCAAGTCAACATGATAATTAAGAGCTGTAACAAAAATATTGCAGTGTGAAGCATTACAATTCAGCATTTCAGCAATGACATTATGGTTCCCTGTCATAGGTAAAGGTAAAGGTTCCCCTTGACAATTTTTGTCCACTCGTGTTCGACTCTAGGGGGCGGTGCTCATCCCTGTTTCCAAGCCATAGAGCCAGTGGTTTTTTGTCCGAAGCCAATCTTCCGTGGTCACATGGCCAGTGCGATTTAGACACGGAACGCTGTTACCTTCCCACCGAGGTGGTCCCTATTTATCTACTTGCGTTTACATGCTTTCAAACCACTAGGTTGGCAGGAGCTGGGACAGATTCGATCTTACGACTGCTGGTCTTCTGACCCTGCAGCACAGGCTTCTGCGGTTTAGCCCACAGTGCCACCACGTCCCTGTCATACTCTTCGAATAACAGTCAGTGTGCCAGGCTCACTGAGTCTATTGGGCTGTTTTAGGGATTTCCCTTCCCTGGGGTCTTGCATTTCTTGCAAGACCCCAGGGTTCTCCTAAGCTTCACTCATGCATGGGTGGTTCTGGCTGGATAGGTCAGCAAGTTATGCACGTTTTGGAGTTCATTTCCCCACTGTGCCAACCTATGTGGCTTTGAGCAAGCTGTGCAATCATAAACGTCCAGAGGAAAGGAGGGGATGGTAAGCCACTTCTGGAATGTACTCAGTACCTTGCAAACCCTGAAAATTATTTCCATTATTTAGAATCAATTTGAAGGAAAGTAATTATTACTATTATTATTGGTATCAACAAACAAGGGAAGAAAGTGGGATGATGATGAGTCCACCCTGCTTATAATAACAGGAATCTGCTGAACCACAGAGTTCAATTAGAGTTTGGATTTCATTCTGAAAGAAAGCAAGGGCTTCAGAATTGCTTGATCTCATTGGTTTCCAGTAGGAATGTTTTCTGACACTAGTGAAATTGTTTCATCTCTCTTTTTGAGGATCATTGCATTGGGGATGTGTAAGAAATTTGCAGACATTCCCTGGTTTTAAAAAATGGCTCTAGCAGGATCTTTCAGTCTGGATGCAGAACTGGATGGCGTTTGTAGCCAGAAACCTATACATTTACACTCTCTACCTGTGCACTTGCTGTGCATTCACTGAAAGTGGAAACATGCATTTGATTCACATGTGCACACTTAAAAATGTGCAAAAAACCACAGTATGTCTTTCTAAAATATGCACAACAGATGCTTTGGTCAATTAAACCATGTAGCCATTGGGGGCAAAAACACACATACTTGTAGGTTTTTCTTCTTCACTGTGCATGTGCATGCACATCCCAAGGTTAAGAACCAGTGAATTAAACCATGTAGCCATGGGGGGGGGGAACACACATACTTGTAGGTTTTTCTACTTCACTGTGCATGTGCATGCACACGTATTTCTGCACAGAATGGAAATGGAACAGACTTGGAGATGGGGAAAGGAAGAAATCTGGCAAAAAGGACTTGACAGATTTTTTTTTCCATTGCAAGACGGATTTTTTTCCAATTGCAATCTCCTATTCTTACACAATGTTTTGCTTCTATCTCACTGCTATTGCCAAGCTACCTAACTTTTACTATCATTCTTGGAAAAGTTTACCAGGAAAATAACAATAAAAACAAGAACATCCTGAAAACTATGGCAAAGGTTGTCTGAAAAGTGGTTAAGCTGGGATGCCTCACCAAGAAGATCTGTAGCCCCTGGTGTTTGCCATGAATGTTTGATCTTGGAGAAGTCACTTTTTTGGACTACCTCCTGCAGTCATCTTTTTTTCTCTTTCAGTCCCTTATTATCTTCCATACATATGTTCCCAGGGGTTACTCCAAAGGACTCAAGCTTCCTCGTGAATGCTCTGATGATCCATCACTATAAGCGTGGTGCATGGTACCCAAGAGGGGGTGCTAGCGAGATCCCTTTTCACATGATTCCCATCATTGAGCGATCCGGAGGTGCCCTGTTAACAAGAGCCCGTGTTTCTCAGATCTTGGTTTCCGAGAGTGGTGCTGCTATAGGTGAGTCTCAGAAAGATTGCAGAAATAACACCTGTCCTTGCTTCTTCTTAACACTGGCCAATTCCCCTACAAGTAGAAAAATAACTGGACTTAATAGAGTTGCCTGTGGTCACTACTATTATTAAGGAGTGGTAACTTGTAGCAGAAGACAAGGAAAACAGAAGAGGAGAAATCTTAGCAAAGCTGTCTGCCATAATATTCAGGACTGGGTTTACCATGCTGTGACTATAGATGGTACTTCTGACCAAATGGAAGACTGGTCTGAAAGCCAAATGGAGATGATGGGTGGAAACTCCGTTGTTTCCTAGGCCCTTTCTAGCAGTGGCCTGGTTGACACATCCTGCCCTTAATCAGCAGACCTTTGGTTTCTAGTTTCATGGGAAGCTGTAGAGAAACATGCCAAATCATGCCGTCTTTACTGAATGGTAATTTGTTCCAGGGGTAAGTGGTTTCTAGTTTCATGGGAAGCTGTAGAGATGCCAAATCATGCTGTCTTTACTGTATGGTCATTTGTTCCAGGGGTAAGCGTGCAGAAAGGGCACAACAGTGAGGTCAAAATATATGCTCCTGTAGTGATCTCAGATGCTGGCATATTCAATACCTTGGAGAAGATGGTGCCTCCTCACATCACAAGCAAACCAGGTAAGGGAAAACACTGTTTCTTCTTGGTGAAGCCCAAGCTCCTTTAGGTCAAATGGGCCATGATTGTCATTGAAGGCAACTATTGTAATTCCATCCTGAAAGCTAAGCAGATCTGAATCTGTCCCAAACTTTGATTTGGCACTTGGGTTTGATGTGGGTAAGCATGTCAGGGTTCCTGGAAGGCTCACGCCAGGTGTAGGAAAAGTGAGGCCTGCAAACTGCATGTGGCACCCCAGAGATAGCAATGTGGCTTCCGGTCCCCTCTGAAAATCCCCATCCCCATAATTCCAAAAAGTATTTTCACCTACCCTAATTGCAAGTCCCTCATCTCCATTGATGCATTGGGATTACGTTTTACCCTTTAAACATAGCACTGGTATGCATGTGCATATGCATTTTTTTAAGAGAGAAAAAATGCATATGCACATACATACCAGTTTCTAAAAAAAGGTCTTTTCCAACCTACAAATGAGGTCAGGGGAATTGAATTTTAATGTCAAACTGTGCCCTCTTTAGACTTCTGGGAATGTAATTTGTCATGCAGAGAATTTCAGAGTTTTCAAGATGATGAATTTTAATGTCAAACTGTGCCCTCTTTTGGGAATGTAATTTGCCATGCAGAGAATTTCAGAGGCTTCAAGATGGGGGTAGGACCTGTCAATGCCCTCCAGAACTTCAGAACATGACCAGCTTGCTTAGGCACTGCACTTGTCTAGAGGTGAACTTAGATTCAGTCTCCTTCTAGCTGGAACGAAAGCAAGTGAAGACTACCAACTCTTAGCCAGAAAAAGCTAAGTCCAGTGCCACCTAGTGGCCCTTGGAACTGCCACATTCATACATGAATTTGAGGTTATTGCTACCTGCTCTTTTCTGATGGAAGCAACTAGGGCAATGCAGAAAGGCATGAGAGAATTGGTGGAGGAGAGTGAAAAGTGAACATGCAGTTCCTTGGTATAAGCCCGTACCTTTGTGCTACTATTTGGAGCAGGGAAATGAAATGTCTGCCATGCGGGCATGCTCTATAAAAGCTGGTAGAAATAAATGGTGCTGGCTGTTTCCAGTAGGCCATATAAGCAAAGTCCAGGCCATTTAAAACAGGGGTCCCCAACCCCCAATCTGCGGCCTAGTCCCGGTCCATGCCCTGGGCCGGACTGGACTGCGGAGATAGATCTTCCACCTCCCCACATGCATTCCCACCCACACAGCCCCTTCGTGCGTGCACATGAGTGTGTGCATACCCGCACAAGCGCCCCACCTTTCACACATGCGTGCAAGTGCCCGTGCGAGCGCCCACCATCCTTCGCACATGTGGGAACAACTGATTTAAAGCTTAAGCCACATAACAGATATTTCAGATGAGGACAAGTTGAAATCAGAGTCACAAACCCATCCAGGTTCAAGCAGGGAGGTTGACAAATCCTTTATTTAGGCATTGTTTCTGGTAGCCTTCCTTGTGAAGAACATACACATAGAAGTGTGCCACAGCCCACGGTGGCCACAAGTGCTGCAAACATGTGGGCCCATGTCCTCTTCATGAGGAAGCCCTAGTTTTCAGCAAGTCCTGGACTTGTCTTTCCCCATAGGAGAGCAATCCTTCATGAGGCCAAAGCCTTGCCCGTATTTTTAAACCCTGTCCCTTTCTTGGGCCTCAGAGTGGCCCTAACATGGCTCCAAACTCTTCTGTTGAGGCCCTCTCAAACTCCCTCCCCCCGAGGGTCAGAGTCAACCAGACTGGCATGTTTTCCCATCCCCTCTGGTCCAGGAGGTACTGATTTATCATTGGAGGAAGATTCCCCCCCAGTGGGAGCATGGCAACTGTATTCAGGAGCATGCCCTGTATGTGGCAAAAAAACCATGGTGTCCATATTGTGTATGTGTGTCCCTGTGCATGTGTGCACATGTGAAATTGTGATTCTGTGAGTTTTCAGTCCTTTTCAGCAATGTGCTTTTGTAATCCATCCAGAGATCCAGTCCCTCCTTAACCTGGTCCAGCACAGCATGGGTTGCTTGCTAGTCTTTGTGGGCCTTAGAGGGACCAAAGAAGAACTCGGCCTCAAGTCGAGCAGCTACTGGATCTACAAACATAATGATCTGGACAGCATGTAAGTGGGCACATCAGCTCTGCTGTCACATAACATACAAGGAAAACAGCCAGCCCATTACTGCTACCTACCCTCCACCGGTCTCGTCCTGCCTCCTCCTTCTCCCACTGCCTTCTCCCACCTCATCTTGCCTCGCTTCCTCCTTGTTCCTTTGCCTCACCTGCCTGTTTGCAATATATATAAAGCAGCACTGGCCGTTTTGTTCAGTTTATGCTGCTTTACATTTGTAAGAGAAAGCACAAAAAATGTTTCATAACTTACAGTTACAAACAGATCACAGCAAAATAACAACAAGCTACTTACAGTTACAAACAGATCAACAGCAAAATAACAACAAGCTCCCTTCCAGGAGACTAAAGAGAGGGAAAGGAACACTCCGCTGAGAGGCAGAACTCTCTTTGAGACAGGAAGGAATGATTGGTTTATGTTGGATAGATTGAGAGTCACCCCAGCCTGGAAAGGTCCTTCCCAGCCACCTCTGCTAGAGCCAGCATGCAAGATTGTAAAAACTCTAACAGTGAGATGAGGCAATAGAGGAGAAAGGAGGGAGATGAGACAGTGGGGGTGAAGGAGACCTTTCTGCAGGGGGGAACGATGCAAATGGCCACTCCTGGTGTTCTATTGCCTTAGCCACCACCCCATTCTACCTGTTGCAATATGTGGTTCTGGGCCCTGCTCAAAACCAAGCTGGAAAACCTATTTTCCTTCAGTAATTTGTATCAAGGAGGTGATAGGGGAAAAGTAAACAAACAAAAAGAATCAGTCCAAAATTCTTGACATTATAAGGTTCTTCAGCTTGAGGGGCTTCGGCATAAGATGACTCCTCCATATTCTCAGCTTAGACTGTTCTACCTCTGCTGTTGCTTCCTGTAGAGAGACCTCCAATTTCCCTTTTCTTCTTTTGCAGGATGGCCAAATATGCTACCTTACCCAGAGAAGAAGTGGTCGCCAACCTTGATATGATGTTCATCACTTTCCCATCGGCCAAGGATCCTACATACCAAGAGAGGCATCCTGGTATCACATTTTATTTACTTGTTGGAAGGAAATACATCAGAAAGAGGAGGCTTTATACTAATGCATGTTTGTCCATGTGTCTCTTACCATCTTATGTGGTGTTTTACTGGGAACCAGTTTCATAACCTAACTTGTGGTCTTTAGAGGACTAAACACACTAAAAATGCAAACAGGGCCTTACTCTCTCGCTTCCTTTCTTTTACAGCGGTAACTTGACTTGAGAATGTCCCTACATAAGAACGATTCGAGTTATGAATGGCTCCGTTTGCAAAAAGTTGCTTTGGCTTGAGAATGGAGCCTTGACTTAATCAAAAAAAGGAAGGAAAAAAAAACTTTCCTGCCTTTTTTTTGACCTAAGTTCACCTTAGGTCAAAAGAAGAAAAAAAGAAAAAAAATCACCCCCTTGTGATAGATGCAGATTAACCAGTTTTGCATTAGTTCCTATGGAAACTAATGCTTCAATTTAGGAACAGCGCTTTGATTTAAGAATGAAAAACAGCAGATACGGATTAATGGTTTTCAATGTATTCCTATGAGAAATGGTGCTTTGACTTAAGAACGTTTCGACTTAAGAATGCAGTCCCAATATGGATTAAGTTCTTAAGTCGAGGTACCACTGTACTTAAACTAAGTCAGAAAGATCTATTAAGTCATAAGTCAAGTTAAACTGAGCCAAAATGTCCATTAACTCACAATAAGAGTTAAATTTGGGAATACCACTCAGCTTGTGATTGGAAACTAGCATATTATTTTCTGCAACGGGATCTCCTTGAAATTGAAGGCTCAAAAAAATGAGACTTGCAAATCAAGAGTGTATTTACCTTCTGATGACCACCCATAAACCAAAGGAAGATAATTTGCAAGACAGAGAGGTGAGAAAAGCTTGTGCAAAGTATAAACAAATATCTTTTGCCAAGGAGTTCAGATTCTAAATGCAATGTGCACATTTCAGTCAACATGTTTATAAGCTATTTTGTGGTTGTGTTTTAACCAGGGTTGCTCAAGTTTACATTTTAAAGTAAATAATTCCATTTCACAGATTCCAGACTAATCCGTAGATCAGCACAACAGTATAAGTTTTGCAATTCTACAAACTTTACAATATAGTTCTTTGCCCAAACACCATATAAAATGCACGTTTTGTTAAAATGCATAAACGTGTGTTTTATTGTTTCTTATTGCTATATGCTGTCATGTCAGAATCAACATATGGTGACCCTAAAAGGGCTTTCAAGGTAAGTGAGATATTTAAATAGTGGTTTCACCAGTTCCACGCCCCCAGTGAGTTTCCATAGCTGAGTGAGGATTCAAACTCAGGCCTCTTGAGTCCCAGTCTGTCACTCTATCCACTGCACCACGCTGTGTATCAGTTTAATGAAAATATTACATTTTATACTTATATTTGTATTTATATTTCTGACCTTTCTCCTGGCCTTTAAAAAAAGGATTTCAAAAACTACAATTAAAAAGACAATTCTTTATATAATAAAAAATTAAACATATTTTTAAAATCCACTGATTTAAAAAACAAGTTGAAATCCTTTTAAAAACACAGTAAAGCAGTAACATGTATATAGTTCCATATGACCGGATCTTTTTCCATTGTCCAGTTCAGTTGTAAAAGCCTGCCTAAAAGGGAAGGATTTTGCTTGCTTGCTGAAGGATAGCAGGGAGGGAGCCAAGATTCCGAAATGGTTTGTCCCTGCCTTCTTCTGTGTCTAAATGTACAGCAGGATCCTATCTCTGTGGTATCAATATCCACTGATTCACTTAATCACTGCCTGGAAATACTAAATAAAAAACCCCAGAAATACATATTTATATATACATATTTCCAAAGTGTGGCGCTGTGGGCTAAACCGCAGAAGCCTGTGCTGCAGGGTCAGAAGACCAAGCAGTCGTAAGATCGAATCCACGCAACAGAGTGAGCGCCCGTTGCTTGTCCCAGCTCCTGCCAACCTAGCGGTTCGAAAGCATGCAAATGTGAGTAGATAAATAGGTACCATCTCAGTGGGAAGGTAAACAGCGTTCCGTGTCTAAATCACACTGGCCATGTGACCACGGAAAGATTGTCTTCGGACAAAACGCTGGCTCTATGGCTTGAAGAGCGGGATGAGCGCCGCCCCCTAGAGTCGGACACGACTGGACAAAAATTGTCAAGGGGAACCTTTACCTTTTATTTCCAAAGTGTATTTACCACTAGAGGGAGCCAGAATGCAATGTGTAGCATTTGTTATTCTGTATTTTTTGGGAGTGGTTGGAACTGATCCCTCACAGATACCATGGTCCGACTGTATAGTCAGTTTCACATGAGATTGCAGGGAAACCCATGCAAAACTGACATTAAATACTACTTGCAAGTCTTCTTGTTACTTGTAGGTCGGTCCTGTATGACCATTTTCACCATGGCTCAGTATGATTGGTTTGAGGAATGGTCCGGAGGCCGTGTGAGGAACAGAGGGGCTGACTATGACGCCTTCAAGATGGAGATTGCCCAGCAGCTCCTAGATGTGGCTCTGGCAAAGTTCCCTCAACTCCGTGACAAGGTAAGGCCTCCATGGGTGCATGTTTAGCTGTGTACAAATCACCTTTCTAAAAATCTGTCTGTTATCTCCTTTCATATTTTGATCCTCTCTTCCAGGTGGAATATATGGAAGCCGCTTCCCCTCTCAGCAACCAGTATTATCTCGCTACCCCTCTGGGCGACACGTGTGGCGCTGACCACGACTTAGGCCGCTTTGATCCACAGGCTGTGGCCACCATCAGAGCAAAGACCCCCATTCAGAATCTTTACTTAACAGGTGAGTGGCTACTTCCCTTTCCATTCTTATACCTTCCCTGTATGGTTCGAATAGAAAGAGGAACCCTGGTAAAGAGGAGCCAGTATTCTTGCTCCTGCCTCACTTTAGTTCTTTTCTCAGTGTAAGCTGAATCAAGGTTGATGAATGATGCTAAGGACTAATCTCTGTGTCTGGGGCATTCCCCTGAGTTGTTCCTTTTTACCCTCATAATGTAGGTCAAGACATCTTCAGTTGTGGTGTAGTCGGAGCTGTACATGGTGGCTTGATTTGTGCCTCAGCTGTGTTGGGACGCATTTTATACCTGGACCTGGCATCACTGAAGAAGAAACTGAAGAGGGAAAATCGCAAGAAGGAGATCTAGTCCTCTCATCTGTACCCAATTCTCTCAGAAAATAGGCTGTGCATTGGATATAGGAACTTAAGAAGAGACTTGTAGGATCACAATAAAAGTGTCCAGCATCCTCTTGACCACTGTGGAAAATAGGGTGCCTTCGGGTAGTCCCCAAGCTAGCTTTCTTATCTAAAAATAGTATTGTTTACCCTAATAGGTCTTTGGGGACTCTTGAGCTTCATGGGTAGATAGACATAACTGGAAAAAAATTGGAAGGACATGAAAGACACAGCCAACTGGATGCCCTAATTCAAGCCATTTCTCTTCCCTACAGAGGGTTCAGATAACTCACCAGTAAGATATATTTTGCAAAGAAAGACCCACATTGCACGTACTCGAGGGATTTAAAAGCAAGTTTTGCAACAAGTATCCATGCCCTTACTTTACCCTTGTTTTTAAATCGGGATGTGTTGTGCTCCACTCTTGACCATAAAAGAACACTAGCCCTGAATAGCACATGAAAAGAAACTGGCTGAGGGTTCAGTTACTCTGGCAATAAGAATCACTGTTGAATCTTAAATAAAATCAGTTTAAAAATCCTGGCAACATGATGCAAATGAAAACATGGGTTTTATTTATTTATTTATTTGCCCAGGGATCATGTTTATTTGTTTTTAAAATCAGAAGCAAGGTATTTTACTGGGCTGGCAAAGGGTGGTTTATTTTAAGACACATGTAAAATTGATTTATTTTTCATTGGTTTGGTATACATGAATGCCTTTGTCAGAATAAATTGTATCTGTTGCCTCACACTGGCTGCTTGGCTGCTTCCCACAGACATGTCCTGGTTGCCTTATTTTTATTTTTTTCCCCCAAGAAAGATTTTGATAGTCTAACATGACAGTGGACATTTAGGAGCCAGGAGAAAACACTCCTTTCTCCTTTGCAAAGTGAAGAAGCTCCCAATATTGTAAATATCTCTGGTCAGTTTCACTTTCCAAAGGAGGAGTCCATGAGTTTCCCCCTTTCTCTCTCTGCGGGCTGGTAAATTTCCACTGTCATGTCAGACTATCCATATCAATCTTGGATTTATTTATTTTTTTCTAATAAGGCAGCCAGTGCAAGGGTAGGTGGACAGGCAAAGGACAAAGCTTCAGATGCAACACAGCCTTAAGCTTTCCCCACCCCCAGTTTTGGAGCTAGTGGTCCTTTAAGGCAGGCATCAGAGGGTCCATTTCAAATAATTTTAGTATGCCTTATGGACAATGTGTTTGTGAACAGAGTCCATGTGCTGAAGTCTGGGTTATCATGCTTTGTTTGCCCATCAAACGCATTCCTATTAAAATGGTTCACCATCTCAGCAGACACTTATCATGGGCTTTAACTCAGGCAGTGATAAAAAGGATAGAAGTACCTGAAGCGTGGATTTATTATAGGACACAAAGAATTTCATGGGCTGAGAGGGTGGCCACAATAAGCAAAGACCAAGAAATCATAAAACACATGAAATGAGGAAAGCTAGAAAATTTAATATAAGAAAAAGAAAAAGAAAAAAACAAGAGATCGTTGCAACTCCTCATTCAAGGTAAATTAAATGAAAAGGGTTGTGCAGGAAGGAGAAGGGCGTACTGGCCTGAAGAGCGTGTGAGACCGGGTCCACTGTCTGGAACTGCCGCAGCCAAAGTCAAGATGGCCATGATTCTATCTAACCTCCAGTAAGAGAAGAAAGAGTTGGAGAGGAAGAATTTCCACAGTCTGAAGTGGGAGCGACTTTGTCCCTTTCAACTTTGACCAGATGTAGGTAATAGCAGGACCAAGCCCAACATTAACAGGCCAAAGGTCTCTGGAGAAAAGCAGAGGGTGGTGACTCAGATCCAGCCTGTAGTGGCAGCTGAAGCTCCTCTGTTACCTGAGGCAGGAAGCCAAGACCCAGTCCTAGGTACTCCATGCTGCCCTGTCACCAGGTCACTTCTACCCCTCTGTGCACATTCACACGCTCCTAACCACATTGTGCAAGTAGCACTTCTGTGTATTTGCGAAGGCTTTCACGGCCGGGATCTAATGGTTGTTGTGGGTTTTTTGGGCTCTTTGGCTGTGTTCTGAAGGTTGTTCTTCCTAACATTTTGCCAGTCTCTGTGGCCGGCATCTTCAGAGGACAACACTCGGTGCTCTGGTGTAGTTGGCTTGGGAGTGCAGTATTTATGGCTGTGAGACCAGCTAATGACACCCATCAACCACAGTGACAGATAATCTCTTCTCCTTAGCACAACAATACACCCACAACAAGACACACTAATCACCCATCTACAGAAAAAGACAAAAGCCTACCTCACAGCCATAAATACTGCAGTCCCAAGCCAACTACACCAGAGCACAGAGTGCTGTCCTCTGAAGATGCCAGCCACAGAGACTGGCGAAACGTTAGGAAGAACAACCTTCAGAACACGGCTAAAAAACCAACAACAGCCACCAGCACTTCTGTGTCCTCGTCCACCATTGGCTGTGGCAATCCTGCCAGTGGAAGAGGGAGAAGCTGTGACCAGATTGTGGAATGCCTACCTCTGATGTTCCCGGAAATGACGGTATGATGGGAAGGGTGACCAAGTTTCTGGAGGGTGGTGTTCTGCTTCTTCATCTCTTCTGGCAGCAGAGGCAAATATCTTGCTATGTCAAGTGATCGTGGAGGGCTTCCAGGTAAGCTTCCTCCCATGCTGACAAGCTCCTTTTGGTCTACCTGATCTCATGCTGCTTCAAAAATTGGTCACACAACAGGAGTCCTGTTGAAGCAGAGCAATAATGGGCATGGTTGCCTTTATGTTCTCAGTATGATATCGGCCAATAATATCAGATGCATATAAACAACTATCACTCTGCCCCTAAATAGACTCTGAAACCCAGTAGTAAGTTACAGTAGAATATGCCCATTGGATCAGTGGGGATTTGGTGAGTCAACACCTCCATAGGTTCCATTGATTCAAATGGGCCTACTGTAATTGCGACTTATTTTCGTGTATTAAGTCCCCGTTAGAGTAGGCTCATTTGAATCAATGGAAATTACACCTCCTACAGATAAAGGGGTCTACTCTAGTGGAACATACTACAATAAACAACAGGATTTCAGACAATGTTAAATAAAGAGCAAACGACATAGTGCGTTCAAACCTCAGAAATTTTTTATTTCAGTTTATAAAAAAGATGTTTACAGTGGAACGTAATTGACAGAGGCATTGCAATCAGGACAAATGGGGACGTGTTGAAGGCAGACCCATATTCCCCCTCTTCTAATTTAGGAGAGTGTTCAAGATAAACAAAAATGCACACATATTTAAATATATAATTAAATTATAGAAACACAAACACGAAGATGTGGCCCAATGACCACTAGCTTAACATAGGTTTTTTATGCTAGTAAGTATTGTAGACGAACAATCTCTCAACTATTTTCAGTTAGAGCTTGGAAAAGTTACTTCTTTTTGGACATGAACTCTCCGAATCCCATAGCCCAGTGGTCCCTAATCATGGGCCTCCAGATGTTCTCGGACTACAACTCCCAGAACCCTTCACCACCACCTCTGCTGGCCAGGATTTCTGGGAGCTGAAGCCCGAGAACATCTGCAGGCCCAAGGTTGGGGACCACTGCCATAGCTAATATGGCCAGTGGCTGTGTAATAATTAAATACAGCATTACAGTTCAAAGGCATTATAGCTGCAAAGACTGGACGATGGATTCCCTTCGGAGAGAAACGACGCTGGAGTTCAGATGAAATAAGTCCACTGCTGTTTCCCATGATCTTCTACTGGGAGCAGGTGCCTTGCTGGCCTTTGGGACAAGTCATCAACTTGATGCCTTCCTAGCAATCTTCATAGGGGTGTTCTTGGGTAGAGTTTGGAACAGGTATGCTTTAGGATTATGTCTCCTAGAATATCCTCCTGCAATTACCATGATGTCTGGGGGATCCTAGCAGTTGTAGTAGGAAAGTGAGCCTTTTCCAAGCATTTTTCTTAAAGAGGGAATTGTGGACTGTTTGGTCTTAGTCTGGGACTCTCAACTTCTAGAAAATCTGACTGTGCCTGTCTCTTTAAGAATGTTCCAGTTGTTCCCATTTGTACCCACAAAATACAACAGAGAGATGAGGGGTGTCTGACTTTGTTGTTGTTGTTGTTTAGTTGTTTAGTCGTGTCCGACTCTTCATGACCTCATGGACCAGAGTACGCCAGGCTCTCCTGTTTTCCACTGCCTCCCAGAGTTGGGTCAAATTCATGTTGGTTGCTTCGATGACCACTGGCTAGTCAGGTATAATCTAAACCAAATCCCTTATGAATACACAGTGAAGAACAGACTTAAGGGAAGTGAAGAACAGACTCAAGGGACTGGATTTGGTGGACAGATACCCTGAAGAACTATGGATGGAGGCTCATAACATTGTACAGGAGGCAGCAACAAAAATCATCCCAAAGAAAAGGAAATGCAAGAAAGCAAAGTGGCTGTCCAACAAGGCCTCACAAATAGCAGAGAAGAGAAGGGAAACAAAATGCAAGGGAGATAGGGAAAGTTACAGAAAACTGAATGCAGATTTCCAAAGAATAGCAAGGAGAGACAAGAGGACCTTCTTAAATGAACAGTGCAAAGATATAGAGGAAAATAATAGAAAGGGAAAAA